ACGTTATTCTTTTTATGTGGGCTTCAGGAAACAAGTTTGGTGTGATATCAACTCCTAGATGTTTCTCTCTGTCCGCTTCATCTCCTATTATGTATCCTGTGTCTGACCTCCTGTTTCCACTGCCTAGTTTCATTACTTTGCATTTACTCGGGTTGAACTTCAACAGCCATTTGCTGGACCATTCACTTAGTCTGTCTAGGTCATCTTGTAGCCTCCTACTATCGTCCTCTGTTTCAATCCTCCTCATAATTTTTGCATCATCGGCAAACATTGAGAGAAACGAGTCTATACCCTCTGGGAGATCATTTACATATATCAGAAACAGTATAGGTCCAAGGACTGACCCCTGCGGGACTCCACTTGTAACGTCTCGCCAATCTGAGACCTCACCCCTCACACTGACTCGTTGTCTCCTGTTGCTTAGGTACTCCTTTATGCAATGGAGTACCTTCCCTTTCACTCCAGCGCACAATCTTCTCCATCATCTTGTGTGGTATGCAGGTTAGGGACACTGGTCTGTAATTCAGTGCCTCCTGTCTATCCCCTTTCTTGTATATCGGGACTACGTTAGCTGCTTTCCAAATTTCTGGCAGTTCCCCTGTTGCCAGTGATTTGTTATACACCATGGAGAGCGGGAGGCACAGTTCTTCTGCCCCTTCCTTTAGTATCCAAGGGGAGATTCCATCTGGGCCTATAGCCTTTGTCACATCCAATTCTAGTAAAAACACTTCCTTACTTCCCCGCTGGTAATCTCAAACTCTTCCAGTGGGTCCTGGTTAGCTATTCCCTCTCTTATCTCTAGGATTTCTCCTTGCTCTAAGGTGAAGAACTCTTGGAATTTCTTATTCAGTTCCTCACCCAATTCCTTGTCGTTCGTGTTGTGTGATCCTTCTGCCCCTATCCTAATTTCATAAACCTGTTCCTTTACTGTTGTTTTTCTCATGATGTGGCTATGCAGCAATTTAGGGCTGAGTCTTTGCCTTGCTTGCGATGTCATTTTCGTATTGTCTTTCTGCCTCTCTTCTCATGCTAACATATTCATTCCTGGCATTCTGGTATCTTTCTCTGCTCTCCAGTGTCCTGTTATTCCTATAGTTTCTCCATGCCCCTTTTACTTTGCTGCTTAGCTAGCCTACATCTCTGATTAAACCATGGGTTTCTCATCTTCATTTCACTGTTTTCCTTTTGGACTGGGACAAACTTGTTTGCTGCGTCCTTGCATTTTGCGTGATGTATTCCATCATATCTTGGGCTTCTTTTCCTGAGCTCTGTTTCCCATGCTATATCTGCTGGGCAATTTCTTATCTCCTCATAGTTTCCCTTTCGGTATGCTAACCTTTTGGTTTCGGTATCCCTCCTCGAGTTCAATAACCCTTCTTCAATCAGGTACTCAAACACCAATACACTGTGGTCGCTCATTCCTACTGGGTCCTCAAAACTGATTTTCTTTATGTCAGAGTCGTTCAGGGTGAAAAACAGGTCGAAAACCTGGAGAGTGTGTGTGTGTGTGTGTGTGTGTACTCACCAATTTGTACTCATCTATTTGTGCCTGCGGGGGTTGTGTTCTGGCTCTTTGCTCCCTCTTCTCAACCGCCAATCAACAGGTGTACTAGTTCCTGAGCCTATTGGGCTTTATCACTCTACACTTGATACTGTGTATGGAGTCAGCCTCCACCGCATCACTTCCTAACGCATTTTCATTTGTCAACCACTCTGACACTAAAAAAGTTCTTTCTAATATCTCTGTTGCTCATTTGGGCACTCAGTTTCCACCTGTGTCCCCTAGTGCGTGTGCCCCTTGTGTTAAATAGCATGTCTTTTTACTACCCTATCAATTCCCTTGAGAATCTTAAATGTGGTGATCATGTCCCGCCTAACTCTTTTGTCTTCCAACAAAGTGAGGTGTGTGTGTGTGTGTGTACTCACCTAGTTGTACTCACCTAGTTGTGCTTGCGGGGGTTGAGCTCTGGCTCTTGGTCCCACCTCTCAACCGTCAATCAACAGGTGTACAGATTCCTGAGCCTATTGGGCTCTATCATATCTACACTTAAAACTGTGTATGGAGAGTCAGCCTCCACCACATCACTTCCTAAGGTGTGTGTGTGTATTCTCAATGTCTCTAAGAATAACTTTTGATAAACATGAATAGTATTTGATGTCTTTGTGCATATTCTCAATGTCTCTGAGAATAACTTTGATGCCATGAATAGTATTTTTAAAACTTTGTGAGTATTTCAATGTCTCTGAGAATAAAGTTTGATGCTAACTGCATATTGGAGAGTAAACCCAAAACAAGAAAATGGAAGGTAAAGTTGGGTGCTATAGTAGAATTGGTAAGACAGAGGATGTACACACACAAGGAATGTAATACGAGCAGAAAGATTTGATGGGAGCGTCGTTATGAAACAGAACAAATGTTTGATGTATTGATCTGCTTAAAGGAACTTAAATCGTTTAATAAGCTATTACCCCTTGCCTCTCCTACAAGGACTATTTTCAACTTTCATTGAAAATAAAGAACGCAGAGATCTACGTCTTATCAGGATGAAACATTAAAACAATGTATGATGTATGGAAGGAATAAATAAGCTTTAGAATTGTGTGATCTATTAGGTATTGACTGTGTTTGTATCTGATTTCGCTAAGTGTGTAGAAAAAAATGACACTCCAGTAAAGAAATGTGTTAAGATTTTGTCAACAAAATACATGTGTGATGGCGGCTGGGGGCTCTCAGGTAATACCTTTTGTTCGGGTTGGAGACTAGCTGAAGGAGGCGGAGGCGGAAAAGGGCCCCATGCAACAGACAAAGATGGTGATTGTTTGTTTTTAAAGCAACTGTGTATGAAGTCGGTATCTGAGGTTTAAGAGGACAAAGACAAATTACGGTGAGGCGATAAACTTTCTGAAAAAAGGTTATGTTATGTCCTAAATAATGGAGAGCGAGATAAATATGGGACAGGAAAGGCATTCTCACTAATACAGTTTAGAGTGAAGGGCTTGTTTGGGGTTACGCTAGTCCGCACACATTAAATTCCTTAGTTTATACAAAGTAGCAGTGTAGAGAGGTAGCAGGCAGCGGTGTGTAGCAGCAAGATGGTTGACGTCGGCGGAGGGCGTGGGGGTAGGCAACGGGTGGGGAGGGGGGGGGGGGTGGGTAGTGCACTAGGGGTACCGCCTGGCATGTCTAACGACATGTGGCTGCCTCTGGCGGGCTAACCGATTGATAAGAGAAAGCAACCAATTATCTCTGCAGGGGGTTTGCCAAGAAACCAGCGTCAAGCATAAACATTTACTTCTTTAAATCACCAAGAAGAACTTAACGCCATTCCTCTTTCCTCCACGACATTGCTAAGGTCACCATCATGGAGGGTGGATGTGTCTATAGTGCTCCTTTGAACACCTCGTGATCTTCCCCATCAGGAGGCTGCTTATCCTCTTATCAAGGTGTTGACAATCTTCTATCTCAGTTCACGGGTGAACTGAGATAGGTCGGATATACCTCCATATAGGTCGGAGCTCTGAAGTCTCCCGCCATTTTTTACTTTATTTTATATATTTATTTATTTATTTATTATTATTTATTTATTTATTTATATACAAGATGGTACATTGGGTTTGTGAGAATACATAGAATGGTAATTTACAATCTTGTAAGCCACTAGTGTGCGCAGCGTTTCGGGCAGGTCCTTAATCTAACAGATAATTTTAAATAGGTAAATTCTAGCGGAATTAATAAAATGATAACAGATACATTGCAAGAGAGAAAAAAAAATGAGATGAGAGAGATTTAGTAGGTATATTAAAGCACATTGGTATATTAAAGCTCTGACTGATTACATTGACAGCTTGATTGGTAATTTAAAGGAAGATTAATAGGCACCATACAGCAAATTGACAGAACATATAGGAAGGCAGCAATGATCGCAATGATAAAGATGGTCAGACTGGGTACATAAAGATTGGGAGATTGGGTAGCAATATAATTACAGAACAATTTTAAAGCAACAAAAAAGGTAGAAAACTATGATGATAAAATTAGGTTCTTTTTAGTTTGTTTTTGAATGACGCAAAAGATGGACAGCTTTTCAATTCATTAGGAAAGAGTTCCATAGACTGGGTCCCTTTATTTGCATAGAGTGTTTGCACAGATTAAGTTTGACTCTGGGGATATCAAAGGATATTTATTTCTGATGTAGTGATTAATGGGTCCTATTACATCTGTCCAGGGAGAGTTTTCAGAGCAGGATTTGCATTTAAGAACAGGTTTTTGTAAATGTAGTTGACACAAGAGAATGTGTGGAGTGAGATTATTTTAATTATTTTTTAGGGAGTTAAACGAGGGGGCTGAGTGTTGTCTGAAAGCAGAATTTGTTATTATTCTGATAGCAGATTTTTGCTGGGTGATGATGGACTTGAGGTGGTTTGCAGTGGTTGAACCCCATGCACAGATACCATAGTTGAGATAGGGATAGATTAGTGCATAATATAGAGAGATGAGAGCAGAGTTAGGTACATAATATCTGATTTTGGAGAGTATCCCAACTGTTTTAAAGACTTTCTTAGTTATGTGTTGTATGTGGGTACTGAAGTTGAGTCTCTTGTCAAGAATAGGCCAAGAAACTTTCCATCATTTTACTACTAATGTTAACATTGTCTCTCTGAAGCTGAATTTCATTTTGTTGATTTGATTCCCAATCACCAAATACACAAAATCACCAGTTTCACAAAAGCAATTCAATTCACAAACACCAGTCACTAACAACAATCGTGGGGTTAGCATCCTGCGCCACAAAACACCAGCACTAACAACACTCGTGGGTTAGTATCCTTGTGCCGCACAAACAACCCAGTCACTAACAACACTCATGGGTTAGTATCCTGCGCCACAAACACCAGTCACTAACAACACTCATGGGTTAGTATCCTGCACCACAAACATCAGTCACTAACAACACTCGTAGGTTAGTATCCTGCACCACAAAACATCACTAACAACTTACTCATGTTCATCCCCTCTGGCAATTTCTTCGGCACGTTCAGCTTACCCGTTCTCACCATCTGTAGAGGTACAGGGTGTGTTAACCTTGTGCTGCACTGTGTGGTGTGTGTGTGTGTGTGTGGTGTGTGTGTGTGGGTGTGTGTGTGTGTGTGTGTGTGTGCGTGCTCACCTATTTAAGCTTGCGGGGGTTGAGCTTTGGCTGTTTGGTCCCGCCTCTCATCTGTCATCATCTGGTGTACAGATGCTTGAGCCTACTGGGCTAAATCATATCTACATATGAAACTGTGTATGGAGTCAGTCTCCACCACATCACTGCCTAATGCATTCCATCTGTTGACTACTCTGACGCTGAAAAAGTTATTTCTAATATATCTGTGGCTCAATTGGGGTATTCAGCTTCCACCTGTGTCCCTTGTTCGTGTTCCACCCGTGCTAAAGAGTTTGTCTTCGTCCACCCTGCCAATTCCCCCCTGAATTCTGTAGGTGGTTATCATGTCTCTCCTTACTCTTCCGTCTTCCAGGGACTTGAGTTTCAGCTCCTTTAGCTTTTCCTCGTAGCTCATACCTCTCATACATGTGGTGTGGGTGGGTGGTTCACGCACTCGCGCGTGTGTTTGCGTGAATGGTGAGAATGAGTAGACATGGCGTATTATAAAATATTGAAGCAATGTGGAGGGAATGAATTCTAGACTCTGGGTTCCAAGACACACACACACTTACGGTGGAAGAACAGGCTAAGGATCCCTACAACATACACAACACCTTCAGTGTAATGAGAGTATAATGCGTAGGATGAAGAGAATCTGGTGATATGTATAATGTAAATTGGATTAACTATGACCTCTAGCAAGGAGGTAAAAGCTATGTAATATAAATATGAACACGAGAAAATTCACAGAACGAAAACTTAATTGAATAAAATTATCACTAAATAGAAAACTCGCTGAATACAAATTTCACTGAATACAATGCAAACAGTGAATAGAAACCTCACTAAGGATATACACCTCACTGATTATGAACTTCACTTAATGAAAGCTCCACTGAATAAAAACTTCCCTGAATGAAAACCTCATTGGATATAATCATCACTGAGTGAAAACCTTTAATATAAATCTCATTGAGTGGAAATCTGACAAAGTAAAATCTCTGAATTAATCCTTTTTTAATATTTCTATGAGCAAATACTTCACATAAACCTCTGACAAAATACCATAATGAAATATTTACCGAATGGAAATTATGTAAACTACCCTGATGTTGACATTGGCCTAATTGTGTCTTAATGTATGTTTGAAAGTATACATGAATATACTAATATTTAAGTCCATGGAATAGGGATACTGTAATTTCGACATTTTGAAATGATTGAATGTAAACTTAAAGTTTTAAGTTTGATTAGGAATTTAATTAAACAATCATAGGAAATATAACTTGAATTTTGTCAGCATAATATTTATCACAAATCTTATACATATATTTTTAGATTTGTTGAAAATTAAATTGTTTCAAATTTCAAGTGAATTTTGAATACTCGTTATAGATTTATCTAAACCTAAATTAACCAGAAAATTATAACCTTCATTAAATTAATCTCATTCTTAGAGGAACATAAGATACTGAGCCAACACTCACCTCACACATACGAGGATTTACTTGGGAGCGACAGTCTGACCTGGTACATGCATCAGCTATGCTCCAACAGTTGTAGCCACAGCGCACACTTCCGGCGCCACACCCTTGGCTCGTTCTCGTCCAGGTCTATAACACACAAACACAAGAGGTCATTATTATAACTCACTCACTAAAAACCAAAGCTGGGAACATCAGTGAATTCCCATCCATTGTATACAAGAGCGCCTCCCATGCCCTTGGGCCACCTATAGCTCTGCTGTTCAACAAATCCCTTGAGTGTCATACCTTCCCTGATATCCTTAAAAAAGCAAGAGTAAAGCCAGTTCATAAAGGAGGTAATCCGGCAGACATAAACAACTATAGACCAATATCGAACCTACCCATACTATCAAAAATATTTGAAAAAAATTATCTACAAACAGCTCTACTCCTATCTCGTAAAATTTGACATTCTTGTCAGTTTGGCTTCCGCTCCCAAAAGAGTACCAACGATGCAATTATTAGTCTCCTTGATATAATTTACTCAGCCCTTGACAAAAATGAGTTTCCGATTGGACTCTTCATTGACCTGAGAAAGGCCTTTGATACTGTTAATCACGATTACCTCTTATGTAAACTCCATCATTATGGAATCCGAGGCCATGCACTGGACTATATCCAATCCTATCTTAGTAATAGACACCAATGTGTAGCCATCAATAATATAACCTCTCCCACTCTACCAATAACCGTTGGAGTGCCACAGGGCAGCATCTTGGGACCTCTTCTATTTCTTATATACATCAATGATCTGCCTAATGTCTCTAACATTCTGAAACCTATTTTGTTTGCTGATGATACTACCCTCATCTACTCCAACCCCAACCCACATACACTAAATAATGTTGTTAATAATGAACTAAAAAAAGTCCACTTATGGATGTCAACCAACAAACTAACACTTAACATAGAAAAGACCTACTACATCTTATTTGGAAGCAAATCTACAAATGCAATTCAGCTTCAGATAGACAATGTAAACATTAGCAATAAAAATGATGGAAAGTTTCTTGGCCTATTCCTAGACAAGAGACTCAACTTCAGTACCCACATACAACACATAACTAAGAAAGTCTCTAAAACAGTTGGTATACTCTCCAAAATCAGATATTATGTACCTAACTCTGCTCTCATCTCTCTATATTATGCACTAATCTATCCCTATCTCAACTATGGTATCTGTGCATGGGGTTCAACCACTGCAAACCACCTGAAGTCCATAATCACCCAGCAAAAATCTGCTATCAGAATAATATCAAATTCTGCTTTCAGGCAACACTCAGCCCCCTTGTTTAACTCCCTAAACTTGCTAAACATAATCTCACTCCATAAATTCTCTTGTGTCAACTACATTTACAAAACCCTGTTCTTAAATGCAAATCCTGCTCTGAAACTCTTCCTGGACAGATGTAATAGGACCCATTATCACCACACCAGAAATAAATATCTCTTTGATATCCCCAGAGTTAAACTTAATCTGTGTAAACACTCTATGCAAATAAAGGGACCCAGTTTATGGAACTCACTCCCTATTGAATTGAAAAGCTGTCCAACTTTTACATCATTCAAAATCAATACTAAAAAGTACCTAATTTCATCTTCATAGTTTTTCACCTTTTGCCTTAAAATTGCACTGTATCTATTGCTACCCAATCTCCCAACCTTTATGTTCCCAATTTGAACATCTTTACCATTGTGATCATTGCTGTCTTCTTATATGTGCTGCCAATCTGCTGTATGGTGTTTATTATTGTTTAACATCTTTACCATTGTGATCATTGCTGTCTTCTTATATGTGCTGCCAATCTGCTGTATGGTGTTTATTAATCTTGTTTATCTGTATCTATTGCTACCCAGTCTCCCAATCTTTATGTACCCAATCTGAGCATCTTTACCATTGTGATCATTGCTGTCTTATATGTGCTGTCAATCTGCTGTATGGTGTCTATTAATCTTGTTTAAATTACCAATCAAGCTGTCAATGTAATCAATCAGAGCTTTAATATAACAATGTGCTTTAATATACTTACTAAGCTCTCTCATCTCATTTTTCTCTTGCAATGTATTTGTTATCATTTATCAATTCTGATAGAAATTACCTACTTAAAATTATCTGTTAGATTAAGGACCTGCCCGAAACACTGCGCGTACTAGTGGCTTTACAAGATTGTAAATACTGTACTATTCAATGTATTCTCACAAACCCAATGTACCTTCTTGTATATATATAAATAAATAAATAAGGTACTTCTCCTTGTTCTATTATGAAGGCCTCCTGGAACCTCTGGTTGAACTCTTCACACACTTCTCTATCGTTGTTAGTGAATTGGTCTTCCCTATACTCACTTGCTCGCCCCTTAGCTGTTGTTTTCTTTTTGATGTGGTTATGAAGTAACTTGGGTTGGTTCTTTGCTTTGGCTCCAGTTTCCTTTTAAACGGCTTTTTTTGCTTCCATTTTTACTCTGAGGTTCTCATTCTCATTCCTGACTCTCTGGTACTCCTTTTTGTTGTTCTCTTGTTCTTGTAGTTTTTCCAAGCCTTCGTGCTTATGTGCCTTGCTTTCTTACGTTTAAGATTAAACAGTGGACTTGCCCTCTGTCTTTCATTGTTCTCCCTCTGGAGAGTGACAAATTTTCCATCTGCCTTCCAGCATTTATCGTTGAAGATGTCCATCGTTTCCTGTGGAGACTTCCTCCCTGAGTTCTATCTCCCATTATTAGGAGCTATTAGGAGGACGGGTTCTTTATCTAAAGTCAAAACCTGTCGTACAAGAAAACGGGAGCGGCTCGCGAAATTGACATACTGTCCCGTTTTCTATTCGAGGGTCCTCTGGAAGGTTTGGATAGGTCACTTTAGCATAACAGTTTCCAGACATTGGGAACGCTGGCGAGAACGAGATGAACCTTCACGGTAACCTCATATCCTCGTAACCTCAACCTCGTAACAATGTATTCTGGACAACTAGAGAGGTTGTTATGATTTGTGTGACCAGGTGGACGTCTGTCCTGTGATTACTTACAAGAGGCGTCCACTCCCAAGTAACTGTATGTCGACCTGTATGGTTACTGAAACGTCCAGTGGGAGCTCCAGGAGTGGACCTAAGCAAAATAATAAATATACTTTAACAATCACAAAGATCTTCATGTCATGTCGTTTAAGGTGTAATGATTAAATTATTAAAATAAATCATTAGTCCCCCTGGCATTACTGTAGTCATCTTGGCTTGAACGTTTTTTTTTTTTTCAAAAAATAAATAAATCACAAATCCCTATGACATTTCTAAGTTAATAATTACTTCAAACTTCACTAAAACAACAATACAATAAG